TTGTCAGAGGGCAGAATTTGGGCCCTGGTCTTAAAGGTTCTTTAGGGGCCACCTAGTACAATCTTGTCATTTTACACATGGAAACTGAGACCCAGGAAAGTTAAATGACTTGCCTACAGTCTCACAGATAAGTGCCAAAGGTGCAATTCAAACACTCTTCCTGGTCCAGAGCCCATGTCTCCATACGCTGTGTGTGCCGGGTTGCCTCTCAGACCACTTCAGCTCCCCTCCTCCCTTTCTTGTACATATATTAAATTACTTTTTAAAGCTCCCTGTGCTCTAAAGAACGCTCTCTTTTCAAAGGAAACTTCTTGAAATAACTTATCCTTGCTCCAATACTGACCACCCCCAATGCATACAGAGTAGGCTTGGAACAGTTGAGGGTAGCAAGGCAACAGTTAACAGGCACTTACTGTCATCAGTGGGATGGATTCCATTCTCTATTTCGTTATCCAAATTCACGTACATGAGATTGTAGTCATCGCTGTCCTCAGCCGACAAGGCAGAACAGAAAGCCCAAAACAGAATTACTCGGAGATGCTGCATTTCTCCAGGAGAGACAGCAAATGCACTTTTTCAGATTTCTGCAAAATCTGCTGGGAGGGAGCTGGCTTGGAGCAGAACAGAGAATGAGAGCAGGAGGCTGGGGAGACCTCTAAATAAAGGTCCGAGGCTTCCGAAAATGAATGAATGAGGAATGCTGGTGGCACGGGGGTGGGGGGGGGGGGAAGAGGGGGCGTTGGGGGCTGGAATAAGAATGTCTCTGGTTATTGGAGGAACAGGAGGAGGAGGAGGGGGGCTGATGGGCTAGAGGAGGCGGGGAAGTTACACAACACCAAACCCCCAAGATTTGTTCTGTGGTCAGGTTAATTGAGGGAGGGGAAAGAAGGGGGGCGCTGAGAGCCCGGGTAAGACCGTTCTTGCGAGACTTGCCCCTGGAGAATTAGATGTTGTAATGTGAATTTGTACATTCTGATGTACAAGAAATCTGCTTGTGGGGTAGGGAGAAAAATACATCAGAGCTGGAAGGAAAGGCAGGAAAGAGAGAGAGGGCCTTGAGGGGAGGGGCTTATGGAAGTATTTCTTCCACAACCCTTTTAGTCCCCAAACTCTTTTTTTCTTTTTCCTCTTCATTCCCTGTACCCTCATTTTTAATGCCAGTTGCCCGGAGTTATAAATGAATTCCAGTAAAAAGCAAGGATGGAATCCAGTGGATAGAAATGCCCGATCTATTAGGAACCTATCTTCTTTTCATTCCAGCTAGAGTTTAATCATACTTCCCCATCGTACCCTTGTTAGAGCATGATTGTAAAGTTCTAAACAAAACCTTGAGAGCTTCATACACCCAGTAACGGGCAATGGGGAGGGTGAGGACGACAGAGACCAGGAAGAGAGCAACATCTTAGAGATGTTTGTTTTCCTGTCCCAGTAGTAAATCGCTGTGAATATATAGCTCTAAGGTGAAATTAACTTACTCTACTGGGCTCAGAGACCAGGATCTTATTTCAAGAGTGCGTTTAGGTTGTGACTGTTTGTGATTTCCATGCTGAAGCGTGTTTGTGAGCTTGTAGCTCAAATTGGCTCCCACTTTTACTGATTCATTTTTGGTAGTCTATTTTCAATTCAATTGAAAAGTGAGCAAGTGTCCTCCCCTGCCTCCATATACACATTAGATTTGTAGCACTAAGTAAAAGGCTCCTAAGAAGTACATACCAGCTTTATGCCTTAAATTTTAGCTCCCTTAAAATTGACATTTTGAGCAGGCAAGTCTCTGACTGACCCAGAGTTGCCCTTAATTGTAGCTTTTAATATTCTTGATCTTTATCTCTGGAAGAGATCCTGGCATTCAAACAAAGTGTTAACACTCTCTGGATTGGTGACCAGTCACCAGGATATACTGTTGCCTGATGCTCACCAGGGGGCCATTTACCTATTCAAGATCTCTTGACAATTTCTCCAAGGTTCTGAGATCAGGCTATGTTTTTGAGCCTCCTGGATCTCTCCTGCTGATCCTGAGGTGCTTCTGCCTTACTGTAGTGTGAGGGTGTCTAACTTTAGTCTGCAGGAGACTCCTAGGGAGGTGAGTGTGTATGTGTGTTGGAAGGAAGGATGCAGAGTTGAAACTCAGATTTTTTCTAGGGAGGTCCATAATCTCCCTGGAGAAAGTGATGGCCACATATCTACTCAAACTCTATCAAGTCCCACTTCTAGGTGAAGAAACCAAGATCCTGGGAATAGATCTTCAGGAAGTAGGAAACCATTCTAAAGTAGAAATACAGAACTTTGATGCATCTCCCTACAGCTCCAGACTGTTGGAGTAAGAAATCAGACTGCCTGAAGCCCAGCTTTATGAGTTCTGCCTTCAGTGGCTGGGGCCAGAGATTCAAAAGAAGGACAGATGCAAGATCTGTGACTACTGCTTAGGCTAGAATCCTTCCTGGCCAGCCTACCCAAGAAAGTGTCAGACATGAAGAGAATAACCTGGTAGAGTTTCTGGCCTTTGATATTACCCATTAGACTGGGAGCTCCTTGAGAGCAGAGCTTGTCTTTTGCTTTTCTCTGGACCCCTAGTGATTTCACTTGATGTGGCCCAAATAGAAAGAGCTCTACTTTCTGAGGAATCTGCACTGGTCCCCAAAGTGAAAACTGGGGTGGGAATCTCACCTGTGTTTCTGACAGCCAAATAATGGATGATGTTAGAGGACATGGCTTTAAACTTCACCCGGGAGAGATGGGGAAGCTTGGTATCTGCTCATGGGGATTTCTGCAGGGATGGAATGCTGGAGAACTACAAGAAGGTGACTTCCCAGGGCTTCCAGGATGCAAACTAGAGGTGATCTCCTATTTGGAGTGAGAGAAAACACCATGAAAACTGAAGACAGAAACCTCAAGAGGCACCTCTCCAGATGAGGAGGCTAGGCTTGAAGTCTTGGAGTTATTTCCAAAGTGAGACATTTGTATGGGAGAGCCGCTCCAAGAAAGATTCACAAGGGATGGCCCAGGCTGGCTGGGAAACATGATGGCAGATTTCATACACAGCACGACAATCCAATTATAGAACCTGTTAAAGCAAGTCATGATCACTCACAAGAAAACGCACAATAAGGTCATCCCTGAAGTGCCATCTCTGAAGTCTTCCCTGACCACCCCACTCAGCTGTTAATGCTTTCTTGTCTTCTCAAATTACTTTGTATTATCTAGGCACCTATTCTGTTCCACCGCTCCTACCACCAGCAGCCCTCCCCCTGTTCTCTGCCCCAATGTAGTATGTACACTCCTTGAGATCCAGGACTAAGCCCATGCACTAGCCCAATACCTTCAATAGAGTGGGGCTTAGTGTTCTGTTGAAGTGATCTTGATCTGTTGAAGGGAAATTCTCACTGCAAAGACAATAGTAATGACATTCCAATGTTTCCCAAGTGACTTCAAAATTCTTAAGTATTGAGTTCTTCCAGTTCCTTGGGCCTAGTGAATACCCAAAGCAATGAGGTTTAATGGTTCCAGGTCCAGAGACCTGTATTAGTCCTCTGCCACAGAGACATAGAATAGTGCAGCGGAAAAGATCTGTGGCTTTGGCATAAGATCTGGGTTCAAATCCTGACTCTGCTTCTTAATATCTGTGTGACCTTAGACAAGTTGATCAACCTCTCTGGGGCTCAGTTTCCCTTTCTGTAAAATGAGTGGGCTGGTCCTAGTGATGTCTAAAGTCTCTTTAAGCTCTGACATCACATGGTTCCGGGTGGGATAAGTAAAAAGTAGTGACACTAATTTCCATTCTGTGGAATGTCTCCTTGCTTTGCAATCTCACCTCATATGTTGCTGCCACTGACAGGCATCATCAAGGGCTTTTGATTTCCTCTAGAGTCAAACTTTTATCGTTCTGAGTTTTAGAACTTCCTGGATTTTACCAATGTTTTCTTTGCTCAGTTCTTAAAATATTCTGTATAGGTGTGCACACTCAAACACATAAATGCATATACATTTACATACAATCTCTACTCTCTGGGTTCTTGTGTGTGTTTTTTTCTATACACAGATCTCCATTTTATTTTATTTTATTTTATTTTTTTAGGCAATTGGGGTTAAGTGACTTGCCCAGGGTCACACAGCTACTAAGTGTCAAGTGTTTGGTCTGAGGCCGCATTTGAACTTAGGTACTCCTGATTTCAGGGCTGGTGCTCTATCCACTACAGCTACCTAGCTGCCCCACAGATCTCCATTTTAAAGTACATATGAGTACGGTGCTCCTCCTTCAAGGTATCCATGGAAACCAGGTGCTTTGAGGCTTGTAAGTACTCGGGAGTATGTTCAGAGAAAGGCTGGTCTCTGCAGAGATAAACAGATTCTCCCATGTGTTCTTGGTATGATGAATACCTGAAGCTTACATAACTTTTGCTTTGTAGAAAATCATGAGTGACAAGCCATACCTCAGCAGCCCTTAAAATGGGGGTTTGAATCATCTTTGTTTCTCCTTCATCGTGAAAGCATCATTTCCAGATGTCTGTTGTCTTCCTCTGTGAAAGGGAACATAAATGCATTCTATTGCTTTCTTTTCTTTGTTTCATTTCCTCTCGTATTTATGATAAAGCTTGGTTTTCAATTAAAGACTGTCCAAGACTCTTATCTATCATCCTCTGTCTGCACTGAATCCTTCTCAGGGTTGGGGCTCTCTTATTGCTAAATTCTTCTGCTTGGCCCACATTGTTTCACTCAGTATAAACCATCATTAGGTAAAAATGTTTCTCATCATCAAATGTCCCACTCATGGAATAAGCTCTGATAGTAGCAGTGCCAGTGATTTGTAGGAATCAGGGTCACCGTTTGTTATTATTTGTTATTATGGCTCAGTAGAGGAATGGGTGATTGGTTCCCACCATTTGATATGTGACTAAGTCTCCTATATGCTTGTTAATTTAATCCTGACATGATCAATGCCTCTCATGAGCTGAGAAAGTGATGGAGCCCAAGTGAATGGACTGACTTTATTATCCTTTTAACAGGTAACTCCATGCTGTTGCGTGTCTTGCCTTCTGTGTATGAAAAGCAACCCCAGCCAATCAACAGCCATATAATGGAGCTGGTGACACTGATGTGCCAGCTAGAGCCAACAGAACAACACCATCTTCTCAGGCTGCTGCAGACAGTCGCGAGGAGGAAACAGCCCATGGTAAAGGCATATTTTACATAGGCATATAAGTAATCAAAAATACAGATCCTTCACATAGGGCTTGATATTGACAAAGCATTTTATGTCTATTATCTCAGTTGAACTTCCTAACAAAGCTGTGAGGTAGGCACTGCAGATGTCATCATCCTGTTTTATGGATGAGGAAACTTGAGTTCTGATGGAGTTAAATGACTTGCCCTTCGTTACATGACTAGCCAGTGTCAGAGATGGAAGCTGAGCACAGGATTTTCTGACTCCAAGACCAGAACACTATACACTCTACCACACTGCCTCTCAAGGCTAGATATACTTATATGAATGCCTAGGTATGTGAGGCTACCCTGGTGCTTAGATATTTCACACAAATGTACCTATCTTGAAATTAAATGAATCAGTCAGTCACTGAGCATTTGCTAAGTACCTACTAGCCTTCTCTATGCCAGTTACTGAACTAGATGCTTTTGGGATGCAATGATGAAATTGAAATGGTCCCTGACCTCAAGGAACTTACATTGTATTAGGAGACATACACGTATCCTAAGGAGTAAAACAAAAACACTCATCTCTTCTTCCCAGAGCCATGTAAATGGGGAGGTCAGAGTCAGGGTCTGGGATCAGTAATTTGAGAGAAAGAGTGACCTGCGAATCTTTGGTTCTTTCTGAAGGACAATGACAGCACTTGAGGTAACCCCCAGAAGCTATGGTTTCCCACATAGGTCACTGGAACAGGGAGAAAGTCCCCTCACAAATGGTCTGAGTCATGGGAAGGTCTATTTGTAGTGTTAGCAGAGACTTTTTTCCTTTGGTCTAAGGTATTATGACTTCTTTCCATCATGGTTCATGAAAAAAAACAAATGATTGGCTACCATTTAATTGTTTCCCTATTGAGTCTGTAGATGACAATGAGAGCAAACCCAGCCCCCGAAGCTTGCCTGGGTGTATCTGTGGCTCATTAACTGTCATCAGCATGTCTCTGGCACCCACCAAACTAATTCAATCTGCTGCCTGCTGCTGGTTCCCCATTCGGTGCCATAAGTATATGCCAATTTGTGCTGAACGGCCTTAAAGTGATTCCTGGCCATGTCTCACGTGTGATTGCCCTCCTGCATTCACACAATGTTGTTGGACCCAATCCAGCTGTGACCACTTACTGAGTGTCTGGTACCTGGCAGACCAGTTGCTGAGTGATTTCAATGTCTCCACCTTCTTTTACATATTTACTGCTTCTCTGATTGGTAAATTAATGATAGGAGAGGTTAGGACAATAAATAAAAGTGAAATTCATATCTGTGCCTTTAGTTGATTGTGTATAAAGCTAGTTAAAGGGTTTACTGAGAGAAGAAGTTGAAACAGATGCCTAAATGGTGCTTTTTTGGAGTGGCAAAGAACTGGAAGCCCAGTAGCCCTTTGACCAGGGAATGACTAAATGAACTAGAACAGAGGCATAGAGCTAGGCAGAGGCATAGCCGCAAAGTGAATGCTCCTAGAGAGGGCTATTATTCCTTTCTGATTTTAAAACCAATGAGCCCCATGATCATGTATATTAAGTTCCCATTTCTGATCCCTCCCTCTCTCCCAAATAAGCAGATTAAACACTTGAGGGTGTTTTTTTTTCCTCATTAGGCTCCCATGCTCTCTTGCCTAGCATCTCCTTTCAATCAGTCACATGCAAAGCTGAAGTGGCTTTCTTAAGTTAGCAGTGCTCCTTGTGGTAGGTTTTCAGCATTCAGAGTAACTGGTCTGGGCTCAAATATTCAAATGGCCCTGTGGCCATATTTCCTTCAATATCCTTCAATCTACTGATCTTATACTATGCTTGTCCATGTCCTCCCATTACTTCAACACATGGGGTCCTCCCAATGTGGTGGTTCCTTTATTGCTTTATCTTGATATCATGAGGGTAGCAGTGGGACACATGGGTTGTTCGCTGGTTATCCTTCATTCTCATTCCATGTCCAGCCAATCTTCCTTTTTGCTCAGAATTGTTTTTCCTATTCTATTTCCACATCCAGTTCTCCTTTGTAACTTCTTGTTTGAAATGCATCACAATCTACTTATATCCCATATCACTTGTCCGTTGACCTCTGAGTGGAATGCATTTTCAGTTCTTTGGAGATTGAAGTGATCTATGATGTGAAGTCATGCATCAGCTGACCTACATGGGAATCAAAGCTATGTTCTTAGCTTCAATATCACCCTACCCTGATCAGTTGAGCTAACAGAACCAAATAACTCATTTGAGTGTAAATACTGTATACTTTCTCCCTCCCCAGCGTTCATGTTCTTAACCCCATGGCATCAAAAAAGATTCAAAGATACATAGAAGAAAGGAAAAGGTGTTATTTTCCTCTGCTAGGTAGATAGGCACAGGAAGCAGTCTGTTTATAATGTGAAAACTAATTTCTTGGATATCCTCCACCACTACAACAAGGAACCCCACCAGGGTGCTGTGGAAAGTACTGGCTCAAGAATCAGAATTTCTTGAGTCAGATCCTGGTTCAGTCATTTAGCCTTTGTATGATCTTGAGTTAGTCACATAAATTCTCTACAACTTGGTTTCTATTCCATAAAAAGATGGGGATGGTCTAGAAGGGATGACAAGCAAGATTCTTTCAAGCTCAGAATCTGTGATCTCTATCTAATCAGGAGGCAGCAGTAGAGAGTAGAAAGAAACATTGGCTTCAGAAGATCAGGGCTCTGATCTTGACTGTATTGCTTACTAACTGTTTCACCAGGTGTGTGGCACTCTTCCTCATAGGATCAGAGACTTAGAGCTAGTAGGGACCTTAAAGGCCATCAAGTCTAGGCCCTTCATTTTACAGATGAGGAAACTGAGGCATAGGGAGGATAAGTGACTTGCGCACACAACTAGTAAGGATCTGAGACTTGATTTGAACTCACTTCCTATCCTTTATACCATACTGCCTTCTAGACTTTAGTTTTCTTCTCTCTAAAAGAGGGAAGTATAAACCAAAGTAAAAAGCAAATGGTTTCCTATTATATTATTGATCAACTTGCAGAAAATGAATATTCTATTGCCAAAAACAGGATCATATCAGTTTGTATTTTGAGAGGGCTTTGTCATCAACATACCTCATTCATATCTAGTCCTTACAAAACCCATGAGAAATTGGGATGATAGGAATGACTGTACAGATGAGAAAGCTGATGCTCACAAGTGTTAAAGGACTTGTCCAAGACCACTTGGCTAATAGGTGGTAGACCTAGGACTCAAACACCAATCTTCTGACTTGAGAGCCAATGATCTTTTCATTAGCCAGGGACATACCAAAAGATGATTTTTCATTGTAGTTTCCACTTTGCTCTTCTCCCTGCCCTTATCCCAGATTTAACTCTCCTACCATATGTTTATCTGTACTTCCCTAATACAATATAAGCTCCTTGAGGGCAAGGACTATTTCATTTTTGTCTTTGTATCACCATTGCTTAGCACAGTGCCTGACACATAGCAGTTGTATAATAAATGGTTTTTAATTGATTAAATTAGATTAATTGATAATGTGCAACTTTGACAAAACTCACCTGTGTTTACCTGGGATCTACACATTAATTTAAACAAGAAAGAAGGGCCCTCAAAGATCTAGAAGCACATGACAGAGGGCAGCTGGCATTTTCATGAATCGAGCATAAAGAACAAGGTCTCTAAAATGGAATATTCTAGAACAGTCCAGGAAATGTGCAAGCAGTTTCCCCTTTTGACAACCTTGGGTTAAGTATGTTCACTTGACCTAAGCAGCTGGCTGACACTTCCGCTATATGTTGCCAGGGACATTTCTTGGCTTCCTACTAGGACATATAATCACTGCCCAACTCCAAGATGGAGTATTTTTAATCCTGCTCATTCATATATTCCATTTACCCAAACTCAGCTTTGCAAAGATCATACATACTCATACATGGCCATATATTTCAAAGGTTGTTGGCATGATAGCCTTAGCTACTACAAACCTTCCTAAACCTAAGCATGTCTGTGGTTGTACAATTAGTCAGTCACTGTAAAGGGTAATTAGTCAAATACTAATGTAATTAAATCATTTGCAATGCACTTGCTATTTGCCTTCATTTAGGATGCACTAAGGTAAGCCCCAAAGTGTAGTGCGAGACAGTGTGGCATAGTGTATAGACCGCCAGGCTTGGAATGAAGAAGCCCTAGTTTGAAGATTTGGTTTGGAGCGAGTCACTTAACCTGTAAGAACTCTGGCTTAAGTAATAAGTCTGAGAAGTTGTTCATCTACATTTAGAGAAAGGTCTTTCTGCAGTGGGAGTTCACAATGGTGATGAAATTATAGCAGAGGTTCAGACAGCCCCAAAATATCATCCCAAATGCAGGGTCAAGAAGGATTTTATTGGAGGTATATAAACAGCCTCTGGTCACAAAACAGTTTAGTGGACTGACTCCCAGGTGGCAGGAGACTTTGCTTCTAGTCCCAGCTGCTAACTCCTGTGAACTCAAATATTTCAAAACTCTTGTGGGCTTCATTTTCTTCTCTTTAAAGCAGGTGAGGGAGACCAGATGCTCTCTAAGATCCTTTCTCAACTCTGTTAAGGGAAGTCTTTCTGGAGAGTTAAAGTCAGAAATCTAGAATGAGAGCCAGAGATCATTTGGCCCAACCTTATCATTTTATACATGAAATGAAGCAACTTGCTAAGTTCATCCTGGTAGTAAATATATAGGAATAGGACTACTTTTATATATAGATACTACATGTACATGGGCAGCTAGAGTGCACAGTGGATAGAGTACCAGGCCTGGAGTAAGGAAGACTCGTTTCCATGAGTCCAAATCCAGCCTCAGCCACTTACTATCTGTGTGACCCTATGCAAGTCACTTTACCCCGTTTGCCTCAGCTCCTCATCTGTAAAATGAGTTGGCAAAGGAAATGGCAAACCACTCTAGAATCTGCCAAGAAAACCCCAAATGGGGTCACGAAGAGTTGGATGTGACTGAAATGATTGAACACAATCATATATATATACCAATACACATACATATATACATGTATATACCCATTATATACATATAAACATAAATTACACATACATATACCCATTATATACACAACATAATACATATTACAAATATACAACATACTTGTGCATGTATATATGTACATACATATAAATGTACGTATGCATAGACATAGACATCAGAACTTTAGGAATTTCAACCCAGGTCTTCCAACTCCAAACAGAGCAATATTACTATTGTATTCTCCTGCGTCCCTAGTCTGTCACAAGGATGATGAATGATTTTGCTATCCATTGCTAAGCTCTGTATCAGGAGCGCCCTCACTCCTTGGCTCTCTTCCTTTAGAGAGGAGTAGACAGAAGGGTTGTGACTTCGGTAACTTAGTGGCTAGACACACAAAATGAGTCAAGTTTGGTTCAGCATTTTCTATCCTATGAATTGTATTCTTTGTCCTCAGTTTCTTCATCTGGACAATGGTGAGGGAGGAGTTGGATTAGATTGCTACTGAGATCCCTTCCACTCCCAGATCTCTGGTTTGAGTATCCTTAAATAACTATCTGAATATAGGGGCAATAGGAAGCCTCCCCAGCTTTTTGACTGTCCATCATTTCCAAGTTACATTTCCCCAATTTGAGAGCTTTGGTTAAAGTACTCAAGAATCCAGCACTTTTTAGCATCTCATATTTTCCTTTAAATTTTAATACCCCCTCCATTACGGTTTAAAGGAATGCCAGTACTCCAGAGGAGCCCCTAACTCATCAGAATGTTATTTACAAAGGATTAGTGGCAGTAGAGGCTTTTGTAAACATTCTTCTTTCTTTCTTTCTTTATGAGGAGGGGCCAGTATTTTCGAAAGCAAGTAAATTAGAACTACTAACAATGTTAACTTGATTGGAAATTCCAGCCTTGTGAGGTTTGAGTGGGTTCCAGACATGGCAAAGTGTACTTTCCTCATCTCTGTTTACCAAGTGTGCTTCTTAGCCCTTCATCGGCAATGGGGTTTGGAGGTAGATCAATTTTCAAAAACTTAAAAAGACGTGACTTACCTCCGGGGCTGCTGGCTTCCAGAGGGAGTCTCAACATGGACCCAATTATTACTCCATTCATTTCTTTTTCAAGAGGCACCTCTACTGTATTGCAAACATTGCCGGATGGAGGATCAGGTTTGAAACCTGACTCCTGAATCCTGGCTCTGGCTCACTGAGGGACCTTGGGCAGGTCATTTCGTCACTGAAATCTTCTATAAACTGGGGACAATAATGCTTGCCCTACCCAAGAGTTATCATGGGGAAAGGGCTTTGAAAACTTATAAAGGCCATACAAATCAATGTAATTCCAATGATTTCTTTCCCTCTCCCACTTAATTCCTAGGTGCTTCAGGAATGCATTCCTTTCTTAATTGGACATTTAAAGACCCCTACTCACAGTGACATTATCCTAAATATACTCATAGAAATATCTAGCTACGAACCAGCAGCTTTGAATCATTTTCTTCCGACACTGAAGGAGATTGGTACAAGCTTTCCCAGCCTGATTGGACGAATGGCAAGAATCTACGGAGCTGTTGGGCATGTGAATGAAGTAAGTGCTTGCATTTTATAATCCATAAATTCTGCTGATAATTAAGCCATTGTCCAAACTTCTCTGGTCTAAGAAACCCAAAAATGGGGCTTTGAAGAGTTATGGCAGATGTTCGGTTTCATCCTAGGCAAGATTCTCTGAGGAGATACAAAAGAAAAATAATGGGGGTAGTTTTTAATAGGGTAAATGGTAGCTGCGCTGGGTCAGGGAGAGGACTTTATGAATAGAATCATCATAATCAGAATGGAAGGACAAATTGATCTGTAGAGAAGAAAGGTAACTCTGCCAATAATTCTTCCCTCCCTTTCCCCCCTTCTCTCTGTCTCTCTCTCTCCCTTCCTCCCTCTCTTACCACACCTTCTTTTCCTTTTCCCCCCACCAGCATGTTTGTTACCAGCCCATAAAAGCAGAGCTGTCTCAGTGTGACCTATGCTTTAGGAAGGAAAAGAGTCAATCAATCAAAAAGTATTTCTTCAGTACTTACTCCATGCTAGACACTGGGCTAAGTAAGCACTGGAGATGCTAAGGGAGGTAAAAATAGCCCCTGGCCTCAAGGAGCCTATACTGGAATAAGGAAATTCACAGATACATTAGTAGGCACATGTAAGATACCTATAGAATATATGAAAGGCACTTAGAAGTAAAGACACCAGAAGCTGAAGGGGGGTGGGGATGGAGCAGTAAAGGCCTCCTGAAGAAGGTTGGATTTGAGGTGAGTGTTGAAAAAAAACCAAAGATTCTAACATACCCTTTTGTGTGTGTTCTTTGGGAGAGTCCTTTGGGCTGTTGGCTTTGCCATCGGTGGTCAGAAAAAACAATAGGAAGCCAAGGGCTCAGACACCAATGACACAGTGGCCCTAGACCAAAAGGCACTCCTTCTGAGCCCATTCTCGTTCCCACAGGTGTGGGTGCACCAGGTGCTGGGGGACCTTAACAGTTGTCCCGTGCCACCTTCAAGAAAACTCAGGCACTAGGGGCAGCTAGGTGGCACAGTGGATAGAGCACTGGCCCTGAAGTCCGAAGGACCTGAGTTCAAATCCGGCCTCAGACCAAACACTTAACACTTATGTGACCCTAGGCAAGTCACTTAACCCCAATTGCCTAAAAAAACAAATTTTAAAAAATTAAAAAAGAAAAATCAGACATAACTACTACAGAAAAATATTTTATCTCATTTTTCACCTCAGTTCTGGCTAACTATAGGGGTTTCAGTTAGTGGAGACTCAGACCTAATATACTGCCCATTAACATGGGTCAAGTCTGCAGTATTCATTTTCCTCAGTTGGCTAAAGTCTAAGTATTTTATTTACACATTACAAAAATTGTGTCCCCTCCAGAGAAAGAAAAAGAGAGAGAGACAGAGACAGGACAGAGACAGAGAGACAGAGAGAGGGGTAGGGAAGGGGGGGGAAGAGATTCTCTCATCAGAGTTATTGGCAAAGTTACCTTCCTTCTCTACAGATCAACTGTTCTTCCATTCTGATTATTTCAGAATGAAATAAATAATCACTGGTATTTAAAGATACTAAAGTAGTTATTTGTCCTGTCTAACATTATGCAACCTTTCAACAAAATCCCACCAAAGTCCAAAGCTGAGCTGCATAAACACATTATGAGAACTAATGTCCTGCCTCCTAATTTTTTAGATGAGACATCTGAACCAGAGAGGTTTGGCCATTTGATAAAGGGTGTCTAGCTGGCTAAGCAGCCAGGTATCAAGGAATGATTTGAGGGACCAGGTGCCTGCAGCTTTGACTTAAAGTCTGCATTATATTGGGACAATTTGGAACTTGTTTCTATACTAGTCTTACTTTATGGGAGGTGGGGAGAAGACAGAGACTGATATGCAGCTACTCCTTTCTGTAGCTTTCTAGAGATTTAAATTTCTAGGTATGGCTTCAGTTAGAAAAGCAAAGCCTTTGCTTATACCACTTGGTCCTTCTGTCCCAACAGAAGGCACAGGGCTCAATTTGCGTCCTATTTGCTCAGACTTACCAAGGAAAGGATGGAACCGGGGAGGGGGTGAAGGGATGGGCACATATATGGGTGTGTTAAATCACATTGCCATTCTCTCTGGACTCCAAGATTAGGTAATTAACCTAGGAAGCTTTACCTAGCTGCTAATGAGTTCTTCTAAGAAAATGTCGAAAGAGCTATCCTCTCACAAGCCTGTTCACTGTTGCCTGATATTCTAACAATGAAGATGGATTCCTTCCTTCCTTTGAGCTAAGGAATGATAAGATGCAAATATCATTGGATTACTAAATGTTTAGACCTTAACTTAACCAAGTTTATGAAATCTATTCTTTGACATTGCTAGCTTAACCTCTTGGTTATCAGGGTGCCACCAGTGTTAGTATCAATGCTGTGCCTTCTTCCTTTACCCAGCAGTCTGTCTGGAGGCCAGTGCTATTTGTAGGCTCTTGTAGAGTTCCATAGACCTATGATCTCATCATAAGGGCATAGTTTCCAACCTTTTTTTGTTCCTCTGACACTTTTCAAAAGTAATAAAAGCAATAGGTTGTAAACTCCCAGGGTCATTTATTATGGTCTTTTTAAAGTTCCATTCATTGAGTGCCAGAACTTAAATGATGAATTTTTTTCGACCCCAAAATCTCCAAATTAAAATTTACACCATATAAGTATAATATTAAAATTAAAATTTTGTTCTATCTATAATTATGAAAACTCAAATTATAAAATAGTTACAAATATTTTTGTGGGGCATTCTGTAAGAAAGAAAAGAAGCAATCCAGCAAGACAAGATATGCTCACTTTTATCTGCAAGATTTCATATTAAATTTCTTTATTTTACAAATATTTTAGCGAAATAAGTTACAACTTGGAAGATGTTTAACATAGTCCAATAAGGAGATCAGACTTTTTTATTTGAACGAAAGTTTGCTATGTAAGACTCAAAGCTAAACAAACATAGTCTTAAATCTGGTTCTGGATTGAGTTTCTATATTTCATTTTGAAACAATAATGAGGTGAAAATACTTGCTTATGCAAACATGGTAGAAAATGGTGGGAGAATTTTACCAGTTCTTCTACTGAGATAGAAAAATTATTTTTTTTCTAATTTTAGAGACCTAACCAATCAATGAAAGTGAAGAGATCATATAATATAAATATATAAATAAAATATATAACATATTGTATATGTGCAATATATAAATGATATAAAATATAGACTTCTCTACTGGCTGACAAGTGCTATATTAAATGACAAATATACTTAAAGTTCAATTGCATATGTTGCTTCATATTTAAACAATGTTTATATACAGGGTGTTCTGAAAGTCTAAGTTTAGTTTTAATCTATTAAACCTTAAAACCTTACTAAGACTTTTGGAGTACCCTTTTAGGCTTGTATTCCTCATGTTGTATGTATCTTTTGGGAAAGTCTTTTGGGCTGGTCTGTTTGCTGTTGGAATTCAGAAAGTGTGACAGAAAGCCAAGGGCTCAGGTATCAATGGCATAAATTAACTTTTGTAAGGGAAAAATTTCTGTAGATGTGGCTTTCTTTTCTCACTGGTGCACTGGATACACTCTCAGAAAACTGACTGAATAATTTACCAATGTTGCTAAGAAATTCATCTGGAAATCTGCCAGACTGAAGGATAGTAACATAACCAAATAATAGGTTTTAATTGGAAAACGGTCTTCATAGTTTAATGAGAAGCAATTTGAAGTTTGTTTCTACCGAGCATTTGTGATTGTCAATGATCGTTTCAAGATGGATTGTAATGTATGTACCCAACAATCATGGTTTTCAAAGAGCTTGATATTTGCACTGCAAGAATGCAAATGTTTGTAACATTTTGATTATATAATTACACAGCCAATAAGTTATGATTACAGGGTAACGAAGGAATGAGGAGGGTACTCTGTGGCACTGTATAGAAGACAACTAAAAGTATGCATATGGATCTGACCATCAGTTGGGAATCAGTTTGTGCTCCAATGTTGAACCTTGGGGGATGGGAGGGATGGAGTTGGGGAGGGATTTGGAAACAATTTGATGACAGGTTGAGAAACTGCAAGAATGCATTGTGCTGAGAGAGAAGGGGTCAGAATTTGATACAATCGCTTCATAAACACCAAAATCATTGTGTGCGTGATTTTGATGATGTTGAGTTGCGGCAGAAACAAACCTATAATGTTCCAAACATGTCCATGCCTATTGTCACAGAGGGAAACTAGATTTGTAACATAATCGGAAAAGTATGTTTGTAACAATTATTGCTTAAGGTGCCATTGAAGAATTGGTAGTGTAAATTCCTTGGACTGTTATCATTCATGAACCACTGAATTGGTGAGATGCAGATTACCATGCTCCCTTGCCTGCCCATGCTGTGTGACTTCTGCCTGTGTTCTCCCATACTAGTAGCTAAGTTAATGCCAAGTCAAGTCAAGATGCAATAGCATTTTCTATGTGCCAGGCACTATACAACATGCTAAGGATAGAAAGAAAAATGAAAGACAGTCCTTCATCTCAAGAAAATTCACAGTCAAATGGGGGAAACAACATGCAAACAGCTATATACAAGCAAAATATATACAATGTAAATGAAAGGTAATCTCAGAGGGAAGGCAGTAGTGAAGGAAGAAGGGGGATATTAGTAAAGAAGTCTTGCAGAAGATGGTATTTGACCTGAGTCTTGAAGGAATCCAGGGAAGCCAGGAGAAAGAGGTGAGAAAGGAGAGCATTCCAGGCATAGGGATGGCCAGTCAAAGGTGTGGTGTCAGGAGATGGAGTAGGAGGAGCAGCAAAAAGGTTAGTGTCACTGTATCATAGAATACAAAGAGGAATGGTGGGGATGGGGAGGAGAGAAATAATGCTTAAGAAAGGTAGAGAGGAGCCAGGTTAAGGAAGACTTCAAAAGCCAAACATGATTTTACATTTGATCCCAGAGGTAAGAGAAAGCTACTGGAATTTACTAGGTAGGGGAATGATATGGCCAGACCTATGTTTTAGGAATGTTAGTTTGGCAACT